TTTTTTCCCTTCCCCTCCACTAATTATACCAACATCAAATACAGTGAAAGCAGGGGTTATACCGTGGGGGAGGGACATAAAAAGCAACAAAGAAATCATCTTATAAATATGTTAGAAACAATCACAAGAAAGAAAAAACATTTGAATACTTATCTTGGGGTTCATTTCACCAAACATCAACTTATCTGACCCCACCTCCCTCCCTCCTTCCCTCCCTTCATTTCTTTTTTATTCCCCTTTCTCTCTTTCTTCCTCCCTTTTTCTTTCTTTACTTTCCTTTTTCCCTCCTTCCTTCCTTTCTTACTTTCATTTTCTCTCTCTCTCTTTCCTTCCTTCCTTCCCTCCCTCTCTCCCTCCCTCTCCCTCCCTCCCTTCCTTCCTTCTTTCCTTCCTTTCTTTTCTTTCTTTCCTTCTCTCCCTTCCTTCTCTCCCTTCCTTCCTTCCTTCCTTCCTTCCTTTCTTTCTTTCTCTTTCTTTGACAGGTCTTCTCAAGTAGCCTAGGTCAACAAGCTGACATTGAAATTTTGATTCTCCTGCTTCCACCTTCCAAGTTGTAGACTTACAGGTATGCAGCCGCACACACAGCTTTCTTGTTGACTCTTCATTAGGATCTGAACTCTGATTTGCTTCATTTCTACTCTACAATGGCTAGAGCCACTGGTCACAAGTTTAAAAAAAAAGACTTAAAGGGGCTTTCTGGACCTCTTGGCCATGAACATGAGGCAACGCTGATATTTTAACCCTCTGTCTCCCAACTGGACTTTGAAAGTCAGTAGAGGGCTTGGAGCCAGCTCAGATGTCAGGGAGCAGTGATTCTTTCTTCCTTCCTTCCTTTCTTTCTTTCTTTCTTCTTTTCCTATTTTTTCTTTTTTCTTTTTTTGTCGGTCGTGGGGCTTAAACTCTGGGCCTGGGCACTGTCCCTCAGCTCTTCAGCTCAAGGCAAGCGCTCTATCTCTTGAACCACAATGTCACTTTCAGTTTTCTTATGGTTAATTGAAGATAAGGGTCTCATGGACTCCTGCCCCAGCTGGCTTTGAAGCATGATCCTCAGATCACAGCCTCCTGAGTAGCTAAGATTACAGGTGTGAGCCACTGGTGTCTGGCAGGAGCAGGGATTCTTGCACCACAGTTGGTTATTTCCAATATGAAACAAGATGTGTCCAGAAGTCATAGTAGTATTATTTACCGATTTGGGAATCTGTACCTGAAGTACTTGACCTATTTGTTTCAGCATGAGACACCCTCGAGTCCAGGAAAGACTATATTCAAAAACTCAGTCCTGCTTGATATCCATGTTCGTGCCTGTGATCCTAGCTACTATGAAAAAAGAATCTTTCGAAGTCATTTCCTTCCTGTTTATCTTGATAGAATTGTTTTCTGAAAGGTTCTACTTTGGGGAGGTGGCTTGGCCCTTGTTAACTACATTTAAGTTACATACATCTTTTTTTTTTTTTTTTGTCAGTATGGGACTTCAATTCTGGGCCTCGGCGCTGTCCCTCAGCTCTTCAGCTCAAGGTGAGCACTCTACCACTTGAGCCACAGCACCACTTTCAGTTTTCTGAAGAGTCTCACAGACTTTCCTTGCCCAGGCTGGCTTTGAAGCATGATCCTCAGCCTCCTGATCTCAGCCTCCTGAGTAGCTAGGATTACAGTTGTGAGCCACGGGCGCCCGGCTAGTTACATACATTTTTTTGCCTGTGTGCTTTAATTATGACATCCTGTTACAAGCTCCTTGAATTTTAGTTGCATCCTGTTAATTAAGGCATATCCTTTGCAGATTGTGAACCTGAACTCAGCCAATGTGAGCAGAGGGGCAGACCCGGCTAGATCCTGCCCTGTGTGTTTGCTTGCCAGATTTTTGGCTGATGGCTCACCCTTCTGCATAAATAAACTTTGCATTGCCCAGTTCCTTTTGACTTGGTATCCTTATTCTTATGCAGCTCCCCAACATCCGGAGCTATTTACTTCTTTTTTGTTAGTCCTTGGGCTTGAATTCAAGGCCTGAGCACTGTCCCTGACCTTTTGCTCAAAGCTAACACCATACCACTTGAGCCACAGTGCCAACTCCAGCCTTTTCTGTTTATGTGGTACTGAGGAATTGAACCTAGGGCTTCATGTATGCTAGGCAAACACTCTACCACTGAGTCACATTCCTAGCCCCTGAGCTATTTCTAACACTACTCAAATGGCTGATATTTGAAAATTGAGGTTCAAAAATAGCTGGGGCAAGGGATGACATTGTCCAAAAGAAAATGTACTCATTATGTTAGCGAAATGAGTCCCTTCCCATAGCTTAGTCCACTCTTTCTCTTCTCCACAGCTTAGCATGTTCCTTTCCTAGGCAGCACTAGGCCCACATAGTAAAGGCAGTAAATAATCAACTTCCAGCCTCCTGTACCTTGGGATGGCACTTCTCTGGGGCAGCTACCACCATATAAAGCATCAAGAGCCCCTTAGAGTGACCTTCAGGTCTGAACAGTTGCAGGACCCTTATCTACTATTTAGACAGCAGCCATAAATCCTAGTCTGCCATGATGAAGCCCCTGGCCCACACGTCCACACCAGGGTCTCCGCCTCCTAGCCCCTTCTAGCCCCTCCTAAACCTCCTAGGTTATATAGGTCACCCCAGACAATAGCTGGTGTTTCTCATTCCTCCCTTGTGAGAAGGAGTCTTGCGGGCCCCCTTTCCCCAGCAATAAACCTTTCTTTGTTCTCTGTACCTCAATGTCTGCGTGGTTCTCTGGCAAAGTCTATTAATCTTAATTTTGCTAAGACATTACGTACCCCTTCTTTACATCACCTGTATAATAATAAAAATTAAAAAAAAATAGTTGAGGCAAAAAACCCAGACTCTATCTCCAACTAACGAGCAATAAGTCAAAAGTGGAGCTGTGGATCAAGTCGTAGAGTGTCAGTCTTGAGTAAAAAGATCAAAGGTAAATGTAAGTCAGCAAGTTCAAATGGCAGTACTGATAAAAGAAGCCTAAACTCCAGCTGAACTTGTGCCATTGGTAGGCAAGAGGCTGGTTTAGGCCACCCTGAATAGCTAGATAGTGAGACCTTGTCTCAAGAGGGAAAAAAACCAACTAAGGTCTGGCTTAGGATGTAGTTCAGTGTTAGAGCACTCACCTGGCATTCATGAGGCCCCGGTTGTGTGTGTGTGTGTGTGTGTGTGTGTCCTGGAGCTTAATATCAGGGCCTGATTTCTGTCAAGCTTTTTCCATCAATGATAGTGCTCTACCACTTGAGCCACAGCTCCACTTACAGCTTTTTTGATTATTAGAGATAGGAGTTTCACCAACTTTTCTGCCCAGGCTGCCTTAGGTCTGTGATCCTCAGATCTTCGTCTCTTAAGTAGCTAAGATTACAGACATCAGTCACTGGTACCTGATTGAGGTCCTGGGTTTGGTCAACAACTCTGCAAAATCAAAAACATGAAACTCTGAACTGGAGGAACTATGTATTCTGGCTTGCAGTCATATCACATAGTAATTATCAATGGATGAGGGAGGGCTTGTGGATAAGGAGACAGAAGCATCCTCAGACAATTTTTGAATCATGTTTTGTGTGTTTCACAAACATGAACTTTTAAATTTTTTAAACTTTAATTTAAAAATTTTTAATACCCTGTAAACACATATTGACTCCATTATACAGATGATGAAAGTGTGCCACAGAGAGCTAATTAATAGATAGTGACTTTGAAATTTGTATCAGGCCAAGTGGCTCCAGAATCCATGCTACTAATGACTTTCAGATGCTGCACCATCATAGGAGTTTTGGAAAATACACAGAAGCATACTCAACAATGTTAGGACTGACAGCATCAGTAATATTTTGCCCTACTGTGTAGCCTGCCTGTCTTTCATATGTGTAGATTCTGCAGCACATGATACTATTAGAAAAAGGAATCCTTCGTATCTTGGTCTGTAATCCTCCTTAAGGATATTTTCCTGTACACAAGGCGTTACCATTTGTGTGTGTGTGTGTGTGTGTGTGTGTGTGTGTGTGCCTGACCTGGGCTTGAACTTAGGGCCTGGGCCCTGTCTCTGAGCTTTATTTCAACTCAAGAGTGACACTCTACCACTTGAGCCACAGCTCTGCTTCTAGATGTTGGTGGTTAATTGGAGATAAAGAGTCACACGGACTTTCCTGCCCAATCTGGCTTTGAACCATGATCCTCAAATCTGTCTTCTGAATAGTTAGGATTACAGGCATGAGCCATCAGCACCGGCAACATCATTGTTTTAAATAGCACCTTTTTCTGTGGGTAAAACATTTATTTCAGCAGTAGTCTACTGAGAAGTCTGCCTCCAAGTGTCTGTAGAATCCAAGGGGAAGAGCAGTGATAAACTTAAAAAAAAACAAAAACAGAAAACCTTTTTTTTTTAACTTAATCAACTACAGCTGCAAAACAATTTTTTAAGGAAAAAAAAAAACACCAGGGAGAGCAGGCTTGTGTGGGAGGAGACGAGTGGAATGTGGGCTACCACCGCTCTCCCTGCTTTCCCTCCTACTACGCACGCGTGGAGGAAGTGGGCTGGGGGAGGGGAGCAGAAGGAGCGAGGATGCTGGGGCAAAAAAGGGCGTGTGAAAACAAAAACGCAGAGGTGGTCTTTCCTGTCCGGACACTACTTTTGTCTCCGCCCTTCCACCCCGACTCCAGGTTCTTACTGGTTAAACATCTTTTTTTTTTCTCTCCAAATTCTTTATTGTGATTGATTACATAATTTCCCAAATTTCACAGTATTGTGGGATAGTGAAGCTTAGTTAAAGTCACAAACACATTCTAACTTTCATGGAACAAATTGTCTATAGTGGTCTATAACATTTATGAGTTCTATGAGCTTTGCAATACAGTTATTTCTTCCACAGATGGTCGAAGCCCATTGGTCCAGGAGTCAAAGGACTGGGTCTGTCCTAGGCAATGCCTGTTTCCGGAGAGAAGGCAGAAATCCTTGAGTGCTATACTTTTTTTCAGGCATTGTTTAGGACATTCTACTGGGGCTTCGAGAGGTTTTTACGGCTTCCGGAGCAGTTGGGAGTTCAACAGCGAGTTTAGAAGATGCCGCCTAAAGGAAAAAGTGGCTCTGGAAAAGGGGGGAAAGGTAGAGCCGACAAAAATCAATCAAGGAGTGGGGGCGGTGGAGGACAGGGGAGGGAATAGGCAACTCTCGGGATCTGGAACGGAGGCAGCAGATGGCCTGTGGTCTCTCAAAGCTGCTACCGAAGTCAGCAGTTACTTAGGTGAAGCTCAGGAGGGAGGGGGTAGTACATAAACTTGAATACGATGCAGGAGCCTTTCGGGTGGGTAGTAGAAACTGGTAGGTGTACTTTTTCGGAGGCGATAACTTGAGACTGCTGTTTCAAGGAGGATATTACAGATGTCAAACTTAATTTTGTCAACTGGGAGCTTGGTGTCTCACGCCTGCCTTAACCCTAACTACTTATAGGAGGATGAGAGCTAAAGATGTCGGTTTGTAAGCCGGGCGCCGGTGGCTCAAGCCTGTAATCCTAGCTATTCAGGAGGTTGAGATCTGAGGATCGCGGTTCAAAGCCAGTCCAGGCAAAAATGTCCGGCACACCACCAGGAAACCGGAAGTGGCGCTGTGGCTCAACTGGTAGAGCGCTCGCCTTGACCTGAGGGACAGTGCCCAGGCCCAGAGTTCAAGCCTCACGACCGACCAAAAAAAAAAGATGTCGGTCAGACAGATCAGAGACTCTTATCTCCAATTGACTACCAAAATACTGGAAGTGGGCCTGAGGCTCTACTGTAGAGTGTCAAATTTAAGGAAAAAGGCTAAGGGAGAACATGTGCTCGGGTGCACACACAAACTTTTTTTTTTTTTTTGTCGGTCCTGAGGCTTGAACTAAGGGCCTGGCTTCTGTCCCTGAGCCTACCTGTGCTCAAGGCTAGCACTCTACTACTTGAGCCATAGCTCCATCTCTGGCTTTTTCTGTTTATGTGGTACTGAGGAATCGAACCAAAGGCATCATGTGTGCTAGGCAAGCATTCTAGCACTAAGTCACACTACCAGCCCAACACTATTTAAAAAAGTAGTCTGAGCTGAGAGCACCTGGCTAGCATGTACAAGGTCCTTGGTTCCATCACCAGAAGGCGTTATTAATTATTGCCCTTAAGGTTTCCTTTAATGCTTACAGAACGACATGCCCTCTATTAAGGAAGGACCCATACCTTCCATTGAACACAAATGTGTTGGACACAGTGCTATGCTCTGAGAAATGATGTAGTCAGGTGTGGTAGTGCACACCTGTAATCCGAGCATTGCTGGAAGTATAGGGAATTGAGGTTTGAGACCTGACCTAGACAAAAAGATGGAGACCTATGTGAAAAATAAAGGAAAGCAAAAGGGACTGGCAGCATGACTCAAGTGGTAGAGTGCTTGCCTAGCAAGCCACAAGTTAAGTCCCCACTACCGCGTGAATGAACAACTGATTATACTCCTAATGAACTCCCAAAGTAATGGGGAAGATTTCTAATAACCAAAGTACTGTATTAAAATCAGTGCTAAGAGACATGTATGGGATATTACAGAAGCTGAAGAAGTGCTTCATCTAGCCAGAGAGCAGAAAGGGAAGCTTCTCTGGTGATGAGTTGTTCAGTTCAGGATGGGTGGTGGACAGAAGGTAAAGCATACCAGACAGAGGGGCCAGCAGCCAAAGCATTGAGATGAGAAACATCACAGTTTGTGTGGTATAGTGTGACTGGAGAAAAACCTCAAGACCTAGTGGTAAGCATTAATGCCAAAACAAACTAAATCCTGGAGAGTGCCATGCATGATACTAAGAAGGTTAGTTAAAGCCAAGTAGAACTTTGAGATTGTTGAGGTAATTTTGGTGAGAGATGGTGGGGGCCTGAACTAAGGTAGTGATTATGGGAGAGAGGAGGAGAGAAAAAGGGAGTGCAGAAGAAAGATGGCCCAGAGACCTAAGGAATTACTGTTTTAAAGAAAAAGAGTATGAGGCCAGGTGAGGTGGCACACACCTAAGGCAAGAGGATGGAAAGTATGAGGGCAGCCTGGAATACAAAGTGAGCCCTATCTCCAAACTAGGGGGCAGGGAGGGTATGGCATTATGAACCATGGCAAAATGACCAAATAAGATGAAGACTGGAAACAGGCTGCTTAGATTTAGAGCTGGCTTTAGGCACAAGTGGAGTGAGAAAGGCAGAAGCCACATTGCCGTGACAAAAGTGTTAAGTTGGAGACAATGTGCACTTATTGGAGATTTTTATTTTTTTGTGCTGCTTCTGGGGCTTGAACTTAGGTCCTCACACTCTCCCTCAGCATTTTCTGCTCACTACTAGTGCTCTACCATGAGCCACACCTCTACTTCCAGTTTTTTGCTTGTTAGTTGTAATCAAGTGTCTTCTGATTTGTCTTCCCCAGGCTGGCTTCAAACCTCAATCCTCAGATCTTATCCTCCTGAGTAGCTAGGTTTATTGGTGTGAACTCCCCAACACCAGGCTTCTTTGGAAATTTTAAATAGAAGAAACAGAACTAGAATGATAGAGGAGGTTGAAGCATTAGAACATTTTGTTTCTTCAGAATGTGACAAACTTGAGAGTGAGACTGAAATGAAAGATCCAGTAGATGAAAGAGAAAGTACAAAAGAGGGAGATTTCTGAGAAAATGGAGTGCAGGACTGATTTGCAACAATTGACCTTCAAACAGGAGAAGGGCACTGTATGCTTGAAGTCATGAAGAAAGAGACGCGGTGGCTTTGTAAAAATCAAAGCAAGAAAAACCTGGATGTCTGTGACTAAGACCTCAGCTACTCTGGAGGCTGAGATCACAGTTTGAGGGCAGCCTTGGCAGGAAAGTACATAAGACTCTTTTTTTTTTTTTTTTGGGTCCGATCATGGGGCCTGAACTCTGGGCCTGGGTGCTGTCCCTCAGCTCTTCAGCTCAAGGCTAGAGCTCTACCACTTGAGCCACAGCACCACTTCTGGCTTTTTTCTTTTTGCTTATGTGGTGCTGAGGAATCGAACCCAGGGCCTCAGGCATGCAAGGCAAGCGCTCTACCACTGAGCCACCTTCCCAGCCCCCATAAGACTCTTATCTCCAATAAATTACAAAAAAAATCCAGAAGTGGAACTATGGCTTGAGTGGTAGAGCAGTAGCCTTGAGCAAAAGAAGATCAGGGACAGTGCCGAGGCCCTGCATTCAAGCCACAGGACCAGCATCACCCTCCCTTCTTCCCCACCCCCCTTCCCGCCCTGCAAAAAAAAGTGAATATTCAGCAAGCCCATTTAAGATTTTGGTTTAATAAAACTCTGGGCACTAATATTTTCCTAGGCTTTTGCTGGTCATTAATGGGGTTTTAAGTTTCATTGCACATTTATTTTGCACCTGTTCTGTGCCAGGCACTGCTCTAGAAGTTGGAGATAGAGGCTGCATATCCCTTAATCAAAAAGCTTGTCACCAGAACTGTTTTAGATTTCAGAGTTTTATGGATTTTGAAATACTTGCAGAAACAACCAGTTGAGCATCCTTAATCTGAAAAATCTGAAATCTAAAATGCTGAGAAGTTTCAATAGAAGCATTTTGGATTTTCTGATTTGTGCTAAGACAAATGAGAGGGAGCCTCTTCCCTAAAACTTTTCCATAATCTATTCTAGGGTAAATTTCAAGATCCAGACTGGGGATGTAGCTTGGTAGTAGAGTGCCAGCCTTTCTTACAATTGTAAAGTCCTGGGTTCCCTCCCCAGGACTGCAAAGGAAAAAAAACTTTCCTCATTGGGGCCTGAAGGCTCTCATGCCCTGATCCTTAGCACCTCACCCCCTGCAGGCCAATTCCATGCCTCCCACCTTATATTGGGCTTCATCCCAACAATTTCTTATACTGAATGTGGTTTGGTTTTGTCCTTTCTTGAGCTGGTTTAAAAAGCCCCATGGGTTTCCACAGCTCTCAGACCATAACTGCAGATGTTGCATTACATTCCCTATGCTCACTGGGTCTTAGTTCCCTGAATAAAGACATAGTTTGCTTGGCTTTCTACCTTCAGTGCCTGTAATGTAAGTTATTTAGAAAATGTTTACTAAACCGAGTGCTCAGTCCAGCTGTAGTTCATTTTTTGTCCACCTATAGTTTGTTTTTTGTTGTTGGTCGTGGGCCTGGATGCTGTCTCTGAGCTCTTCAGCTCAAGATGAGGGTTCTGCCACTTGAGCCACAGCGCCAATTCCGGTTTTCTGGTGGTTAATTGGGGATAAGAGTCTAATGGAGGGCTGGGAAGGTGGCTCAGTGGTAGAGCACTTGCCTTGCATGCCTGAGGCCCTGGGTTCGATTCCTCAGCACCACATAAGCAAAAAGAAAAAAGCTGGAAGTGGCACTGTGGCTCAAGTGGTAGAGGGCTAGCCTTGCGCTGAAGAGCTGAGGGACAGCGCCCAGGCCCAGAGTTCAGGCCCCACGACCGGATCCCCCCCCCCCCAAAAAAAGTCTAATGGACTACTTTTCTACCCAGACTGGCTTTGAACTGTGATCCTCAGATCTCAGCCTCCTGACTAACTATAACTATAGGCAGGAGCCACTGGCACCTGGCCCTGCTATAATTCTAAGGAACACCAACCTCTAACAGTATGGATACTGCCTGTGATGCAGAAATCAGCAGTAAATTGTCTGTGCTTGTTAATCTGAATGTCATTGACTTTTCTTAGGAGGACATCAATAGGTGATGTTAGTAGACTCCTGGAATTTGGACGGGAATATTTTTTTTTGTTGGTCCTGAGCTTGAACTCGGCCTGAGGTTATTTTGCTCAAGGTGAGTGCTCTACCACATTAGCCACAGAGCCACTTCTGGCACTTTTGAGTAGTTTATTGGAGATAAGAGTGTCATGGAGTTTCTTGCCTGGGCTGGCTTCAAACCACCATCATCAGATCTCAGCTTCCTGAGTAGTTAGGATTACAGGCATGAGCCACCAGCACCCAACTATTATGTTCTTTGTAAAAAATTATTTTAAGCCAGGTGTTGGTGGCTCACACCTCTAATCCTAGCTATTCAGGAGGCTGAGATCTGAGGATCACAGTTCAAAGCCAACCCAATCAGGAAGGTCCATGAGACTATTATCTCCAATGAACTATCAGAAAACCAGAAGTGGTGCTGTGGACCAAGTGGTAGAGCACTAGCCTTCAGCTGAAGAGCTGAGGGACAGTGCCCAGGCCCAGAGTTCAAGCCCCAAGACCTACCAAAAAACATATTTAAAGTAATTATACAAGGGGTTTTGAGTCCATGTCAGACTGTGAGTACACTGCATCTTGATCAGTGTCACCCCTTCCATTGTCCTCCCCATCTTTCCCAATATCATCTGTACCTTCAAGTTAAATAATTCTGTTTCTACATATGTACATTGGATATTATGACTGCATTTGCTCACCATTCCTTTCTCCATTTGTCTGCTTTCCTTTCCCCTTTCCCCTTCCCCCAAAACAGGTTTCAACTTAGTGGAATTCAATGAATGAATATATATATTAATATATATATTTATGTTTATATTTGCCAGTTCTGAGACTTGAACTCAGGGCCTGGGCACTGTCCCAGACCTTCTTTTGCTCAAGGCTAGCACTCTACCACTTGAGCCACAGCACCACTTCTGGCTTTTTCTGTTTATGAGATACTGAGGAATCAAATCCAGCGCTTCATACATGCTAGAAAAGCACTCTACCACTAAGCCACCTTCCCAGCCTAATGAATATATTCCTTAGCCAAGCATATTCTAAATACATTCTTGGGGATTTTATTTATTGGAATTATAAGCACTCAAAAACAAAGTTGAGGGCTGGGAATGTAGCTTAGTGGTAGAGTACTTGCCTAGCATTCATGAAGCCCTGGGTTTGATTCCTTACATACCACATAAACGGAAAAAGGAGGAAGTGGTGCTGTGGCTCAAGTGGTTGGGTAGTAGCCTTGAGGACAAAGAAGCTCAGGGACAGTGCCCTAGCCCTGAGTTCAAGCCCTGGGACTGGCAAAAAAAAAAACCCACAAAGTTGCAGTGTGTATTAGGAAATTTGTACAAGGTTGAGGTTTTACCCTTAGAAGGCAGGATTTGAAACTGGATTCAGAGAATTTGATTGTGGGAAACACTCTTTTATGTATTCATTTTCCTGGAAAGGTTTGTGTAGGGCACACATTTCCTATTTCAAGAGAGGCAAGTGAGGGCCACGTACCACTGTCTCATTCCTGTAATCATAGCTATTCAGGAGGCAAAGATCAGAGGATCACCATTTGAACCCAGGCAGAAAGTCTGTGAGACTCTTTTATCTCCAAGTAGTCCCCTCCCCCCAATAAAAAGCTCAGGGAGTTAGGAAGGTGGCTCAGTGGTAGAGTGCTTGCCTTGCATGCATGAGGCCCTGGGTTCAATTCCTCAGCACCACAAAAGCACAAAAAGCCAGAAGTGGCACTGTAGTTCAAGTGGCAGAGTGCTCGCCTTGAGCTGGAGAGCTGAGGGGACAGTGCCCAGGCCCCCACCACCACCACCAAAAAAAAAAAAAAGCTCAGGGACAGCATCCAGGCCCTGAGTTTAAGTGATAGCGTGGCTTTGTTTGGCTTGATGTGGTACAGTATGGCAGACTCCTTCTGAAGCCTGGTGCTGTGGTTGAAGTTATCAGCATATGGGGGCAGGGAGTTTAGGCTTTCTATAAAGATCAAAGTGCAGCTTAAATGATAACTTGTCATCTCTTCTCCAAAGGGGGTGCAGCTTCTGGAAGTGACAGTGCTGATAAGAAAGCTCAGGGCCCCAAAGGTGGTGGCAATGCAGTAAAGGTGAGTTAATTCACTTGTTCCTTTTTTTTCTATATTACGTATATTTTCTATATTACGTATATGTGTGTGGGCACATATGTTTTGTGTGTATACATGTGTTGTATATACTCTCATTTGTGTGTGCATGGGTGTGTGTTGGTACATACAAAAAGCAGTATGAGCTGGGTGCTGATGGCTTACACCTATAATCTTAACTACTCAGGAGTTTGAGATCTGAGGCAGCCTGGGCAGGAAAATCTGTGAAACTCTTATCTCCAATAAACTATCAGGAAGTTGGAAGTGAAGCTGTGGCTTAAGTAGTAGAGAACTAACCTTGAGTGAAAGGCTAAGAGACAGTGCCCAGACTCTGATTTCAAGTCTCAATACCAGCATGCACACACACACAAAACGACAGTATGCTTAATTCTTTTAATTGTTGTTGCAACAGTGATGTACATAAGTCAGGTAATGAGTAACTATTTTTTTTGGGGGGGGGGGTCCGGTCGTGGGGCCTGAACTCTGGGCCTAGGCACTGTCCCCTCAGCTCTTCAGCTCAAGGCTAGCGCTCTAACCACTTGAGCCACAGCACCACTTCCAGCTTTTTTCTTTTTTTGCTTATGTGGTGCTGAGGGATTGAACCCAGGGCCTCATGCATGCAAGGCAAGCGCTCTACCACTGAGCCACCTTCCCAGCCCCGTGAGTAACTTTTTTTTTGAGCAATGGCATCCCTTCACTCTCTCCCAGTTTATGCTTAACTTTTATTTTAGAGACTAACCTAATACATAAAACCAAGAGGACACCATTGGAAAACAAAGCCCAGTTTTTCTTATGAATAGTAAATTATTTTAAATGTTTTCTCAAGTGCTATCTCTCAGGCATACAAAATTCCTTCATACTTTGAGTAATACTCCATAAAATATATTGACTTAGATGATCTTAGTGAATGATTTCTCAGAAAAGGGTACTGTTTTATGAAACCAAGAGCTTAGGTGTATGTTCAAAGCACCTCTGTTGAATAACCAAGTCTCATTAGAAGGCTTCCTACTGGTGAGCTACAAACCAGAAACCTGACCATGCTTTGGCGGGAGGGGGGGAGGGGGAATGGGAAGGGATGGGAAGGGCAAACAAAGGAAGAGGCAACAATGCTTGATAAGAAATGTACTCATTACCTTGCTCATGTAATTGTAACCCCTCTGTACGGTATTTTCACAATAAAAAAAGATGCAATAAAAGAAAAACAATAAAAATAGAAAGCACTTATAATAGTAATAAAAATTCCTATTCTCTAAGATGCTGTGGCATATGAATCAATCTGTTACCTAGTACATAGTAATTATAAAACAAGTATTGCCTACTGAAATTACTGCTTTTATTGTTATTAAAAATAAATCGATAGTGAAAAAAATGGGGGTGGGAAACAATTAGGAAATAATTACAAGAAGTTTGTAATATAGTTCTGGAAGGGTGTTTGCTATGAGAAAATTCAGTCTGAACACAACTATGTGGCTTATGTTATGGAACAAGATAATTTCCATGTGTTAGTCAGGATATGGGAACATATAGTTTGATTCATTCATTCAGCAAGGATTTAGTGACATCTGCCCCAGGCCAAACAGTGTACTAGGCTTTGATAGCAAGAGTAAGACAGACAGAGAGAATATGAAACAATGACAGGAGCTGTTTTATCTATCTTTCTGTTCAGGGAACCTGCTTCCAGAGGGAGGAAGATAGGATGCATGAATCTGCTTTTCTGTTCTTGTTCTCTCTTTCTGTATGGGCATTTAACTGTATCAAGTGAATTTTGGTGTCCAAAGAAAAAATTTTCATTAAACATGACCCCTAAGTATAACCTAGTTACTTTATCTCATGTTTTTCCAAAGAAGTAGTCATTGTCATAACCGAGGATTGGTGGGGAAGGGGGGAGTCTGGCTATTTGGGGCTTAATGAGAGCTGACTTGTTGGTCTCCAAAATAACACTTAAAAGGAGTGTTTAGCTGGGTGCCGATGGCTCACATCTGTAATCCTAACTACTCAGGAGGATGAGATCTGAGGATTGAGGTTCAAAGTCAGCCCAGGCAGGAAAGTCTTGTGAGATATTTTTTTGGTCAGTTGTGGGGCTTAAACTCTGGTCCTGGGCACTGTCCCTGAGCTCTTCAAGAGCACAAGCACAGTGCCACTTCCAGTTTTCTGGTGGTTAATTGGAGATAAAAGTCTCATGGACTTTCCTGCCTGGGCTGGCTTTGAACCATGATCCTCAGATTTCAGCCTCCTGAATAGGTAGGATTAGAGGTATGAGCCACTGGTGCCTGGCTTCTTATCTATAAGTTATAAGGCAGAGACTCTTAGTTTCTATCCTAGTATATCATCTACAGTGTGAAACAAATAACAGTGTGAAACAAATAACTGATTTTTTTCTAAATGAAAAATGGGAAATCCTGCAAAACATAATATAATAAAAATCACATGGCTCACTGTTCACTAGCAAAGTACTTGCTGAGCAAGCATAAGTCCCTGAATTCAAAGTCCACATTGACCCAAAAAAAAAGAAGACAAGAAAAAATTAAAGATAGAGGTTTTGTTTTGTTTGATGCCAGTCCTCTCAGGGCCTGGATGCTATCTCTGGGAATTTTTTTTGCTCTAGCCTAGCGTTCTAACATTGGAGTCAGCTCTGTTTCCAGGATTCTGCTGGTTAATTGGAGTTGAGAGTCTGCCTGGGCTAGCTTTGAACTGTGATCCTCAGATTTCTGTCCCTTGGGTTGCTAGGATTCTAGGTACACGCCACCAGTGCCCAGCAAGATACTGGTTTTATTTTTAAACCACTACTTTATATAAACATGGGTTGAATGGGATACTGCTGTAATTATGAGTATTCTAATATTTGAAGCCAGGTGTGTTATACACCTATAATACCAGCACTTGGATGGCTAAAGCAGGAGGATTGCCAGTTCAAGGCCAACCTGGGCCACATAATAACTTCCAAGCCAACAAAGGCTATGTAGAAAGACTCTCAAGAAAGAGATAATTCAATGTGCAATAACTTTTCACTGTTAAATTGTGAGATAGCTTTATACAGAAAGCATCTTTGATTAAAATATTTCCTAGTAGATTTTTTTCATATCATCCCCCATGCTGATGAAATCATAGGCAACAGTTATTGAATGCTAGTTGCACTCTCTCTTTGCAGTCCTAGGTGAGCATCAGGTACAATTATCTCAGTGTATATGGTAAGATACTTGAAGGTCTAAAAACCTGGGTGCATTACTCAAATGGTAAAACACTTGCTTGTCTAGAAAGAGAGGTTCTGGGTTTAGTACTCAGTACTGCCAAAACAACAACTGTTTATCAGAGTTAGAATTGAATTCAGGACCAAGACTCTCAGCTAATATTATTTTTTTGCTAGGCCTGGGGCTTGAACTCAGGGCCTGAGCACTGTCCCTGAGCCCCTCTGTGCTCAAGGCTCTACCACTTGAGCCACAGCACTATTTCTTGCTTTTTCTTTTTATGTGGTCCTGAGGAATCGAACCCAGGGTTTCATGCATGCCAGGCAAACACTACCACTAAGCCCCATTCCCAGCCCTCTCAGCTGTTACTTTCCCCTCCCTGTTATATTGAGGTACATGGTAAAAGATGGGAGAAGCCCTCAGCCTGGTGCCCATTTTCCATCTAAATGAGGTTTCTGAGATGTCTTCAGATGCAAAACAGGTTTATAGTGATCACCCAACTGGGCAGATTTGCATGATTTTCAATTATTATTAGTTAATGATGTGTTTGGTTTATTTTTACTGGCAGGGATAATCCAAATGTCACTGCTGTATAGAGAGAAAACATTTGGGTCTCCAAGTATTAACATGAACATGCTTTATTTTTCCCTTGTAGGTCAGACACATTTTGTGTGAAAAGCATGGCAAAATCATGGAAGCCATGGAAAAGTTGAAGTCTGGAATGAGATTCAATGAAGTAGCCACACAGTACAGTGAAGATAAAGCCAGGCAAGGGGTATGTTGCTCTTAGCATTTAAAATTTTCTGTCCTTAAGCTCCAGGTAGAGCTCAGGGTAGGTCATGCATATAAACTCCTACATTTGATTCTTAGCATTGCAAAGAAAACACAAAAGCAGGGCTTAATTGTTCTGCTATTAATTTTAGCCATATCTCAATGTACAAATCTTAAAAGCAGAAATGTCTGACTTGTGGGGCTGGGAATGTAAGTCCAGTAGTAGGACACTTGCCTGGCACATATGAAGTCCTGGGTTCTATTCCAATCACCACAGAAAAGAAAAAAATGTCCACATTATAATAAGAATTACCTACATATAATGTAGGCATACCCAAACCTTTGCAGCTAACTTCATACTCCACTGTCTTGCAGGTGTTGTGTTCAGCCAAGGGTTAGATGACTTCTGGTTTGTCCTTGTTGGGCTCCTACATAGCCCAATTGAATAAGCTTCATGTTGGGAAATTCCCTCAAGCTACAGGACAACTTATCCCATTTCAGGACCATTTGCTATATGATGTTATCTTTGGGTTTTGCAGGGCGACTTGGGCTGGATGAGCAGAGGGTCCATGGTGGGACCCTTTCAAGAAGCAGCGTTTGCCTTGCCTGTGAGTGGGATGGATAAGCCTATATTTACGGACCCACCAGTTAAGACAAAATTTGGATACCATATTATTATGGTTGAAGGGAGAAAATAAAATCATACAACTGAATAAGTTGCACATTTTGTTTATTTTCAAAGATGTCATATAATACTTGTGCTTTGTGAACTGTTGGTATGGGTTTATAGGTAGAAAACAGGATGGGTATAGGGCAGTACATGCTATAATAGTTTTCAATCAGTTCTCACAGTCACATACTTTTTAATCTGTGTTGCTCTTCCTCCCAAGAACAACTCAAAAGTTAATTCAGAAACCATCTTCGGTGGGGGGGGGGAAAGATCTTAGCTCAGATTGTTTATGCCAACTGAAAATATTGGGTATCAGAAAGATTAATTAGTATATGAAAATCATAGGATAAATTCCCGTACAACTCTTTTGGACTCTTATGTCCAATTAACCAGATGGGTAGTAGTAGCTCCCTTGTGTAACAGAGTACATGACACCTAGGAGCCATTTGACATTAACTCCTTTTCCTTTAAATAAACATCTTTCGAGCCAGGTGCCAGTGCTCACACTTGTAATCCTAGTTACTCTGGAGACTGAGATCTGAGGAACATGGTTCAAAGCCAACCTAGGCAGGAATGTCTATGAGACCCTTATCTCCAGTTAACCATCAGAAAACTGAAGTGGTGATGTGGCTCAAAGTGGTAGAGCACTAGCCTTGAGCAAAAAAGTTCAGGGAGAGCACCTAGATAGCCCTGAGTTCAAGCCCCATGACTGACTAGATAAAAAATATCTTTTGGTAGAAAAAACACAATTCTTCCATATGTGGTATGTACAAAACTAAGCAACCATTCACCAAGTGCTGAGTAAAGGGACAAGAAAAGGGACAAGGACATGAAAACATGACTCCTTCATCCTCAGTATGTGGGTTATATTTATTATAATTCTCCCATGGCTAACATTCTGAATGTATATTTTAAAATGTTTAATTATGATATATTAAGGATAATATACTCCTTCAAAAATAAAACATTGCCACTTGAGCCTCCAGCTCTGATACATGTATGTGATTCTTGTAATCCATTGGACTGTTTCTCAGCTACATTACACATATATTATTCCAACTTACATATGAGGCTAATTTTGCCTAGAGACCTGAAATTCCCATTTTGGACATTTCTGAGCACCTCAGGAACTTTAGGCCTCTGTGAGATTTTCCCCACCTAGCAGGTGTGCTAGTATGACAGAAAAAGTTCAAAATAAGCTGGGTGTTCTTGGTATACACCTATAATCCTAATACTTTGTGTGTGGAGGTACTGGAGCAGGAGGATCATGAGTCCAACAGCAGTCTGGGCTTCAACGAGACCCTGTCAAAATACACCCCCCAAAAAAGGAGGAAAAAAGATGCTAAATAGTAAGTGAAATATGATGCTAGAGGCTCATGCCTATAAATCTAGCTATTCATGAGGCTGAGATCTGAGAGTCACAGTTCAAAGCCAGCCAAGACAAGAAAGTCCATAAAACTCTTGTGTCTAATTAACCAGCATAAACCCAGAAGTGGAGCTCTTGCTTAAATGATAGAGTGCAAGTCTTGAGCACAAACTATTAGGGACAACACTCAAAGTTCAAACCCCAGGAGTGGCACCAAACAAACAAACAAAAAGTAAATGAAGAAACTACATTCACTTAGCTTCAAATAAGCTAGTTAAGTACACTCAAAAATCTGGGGGGTATAGTGGTAGGTAGGGGTTCAGACTCTAGCATGGCAAAGTAAACAATTAGGCTGAATACTAGTGACTCATGTCTGTAAACTTAGCTACTTGGGAAGCTGAGAAATACACATCACAGTTCAAAGCCAGCCTGGGCAGAAAAGTCTGTGAGACTTCTCTCCAATTAACCACCAAAAAAGGGGGTACAATGGAGCCATGGCTCAAGTGGTAGAGCACCAGCCTTGAGAGAAAAAAAGCTAAGTGACAGCATTCAGGCCCTGAGTTCAAGCCTCAGTACCAGCACATGCACACACAATTTTTGAAAAATTTAGTATCTGTGTAAACTAATATATTCTCAAAATCTTGAGGCTTTATAAGCAAAGATGCTATTGAGATAGAAAGTTTTGCTCAAGACATTGGCATAATCAAGATTACATGTGAATGTTTGTTGCATGGATGTCACCAAAAAGGAAGGAGCTGGAAGGCAAGCCAGAGAAACAGCCTAAGTCCTGTGAACTAGGGAGAGGGCAGTAACAGGTACCTGAGAATGATACCAAGTTTTCCTTTGGGAAGTTAGGTTCTAGCTGGCAACTGATAATCTGCGGGAGTTGGTAGAGGAAAAAAAAATAAGGATTTCTACAGATTTAAACACATTATAACAAATGCATTTAACTATGGCTTCATCTCAGTAGGTTCACTGTTTAGATAACAAACATTAATTGTAGAAAAATAATTGTAAATTAAAGCCCAATTAATATCCTATTTCTTACCTGATTGGTACAATTCCAGACATGTAATGTATTGCTGGTGAGCATATTCACACTAGTGAATATGTATTCACTAGTGATAGGAATATAATTAGAACCTCGAGAACAATTTAGCAAAACCTATCAAATTTCTAGACTCGGCTCAGCAACTCTATTTCTAAGAACTTATCATCATGGGTATAATCACATATAAAAGGTATAAGGATATTCATGCCATCATTATTTAGAAGCAAACTAAATGTTCAATAGACGACGATAAATTACAGTTCATCACATCTCTGGCTATCATTTGGATAGAAAAATATGTACACTGGGTTTGGGGTGTAGTCCAGTGATAGAACACTTGCCTAGCACACACAAGGTCCTAATTTCATCCTTAGTGCTACAAAAAATGATGTGAAAGGCAGACAAGACAACTCTGGGAATGGCATCCAGAATGGGGGAAGACTGAAAGGAAACTTTTGACCTCAGGCCCTTGGATCAAAAGTCTTAACATTTTATTCACGGATCCCTTTGGCACTGCGACTAAATTTCCAGATCCTTTCTCATAATGTTCATACACCTATATAGGGACTACAAAAGCCACCGACTATACTGAAATATAGTAATTAAGCTTTTTGTTTTGTCAGTTGTGGGGCTTGAATTCTGGGCCTGGGCGCTGTCCCTCAGCTCTTCAGCGAAGGCGAGTGCTCTACCACTTGAGTCACAGCGCCACTTCTGCTTTTCTCATGGTTTATTGGTGATGAGTCTCACGGACTTTTCCTGCCTGGGCTGGCTTTGAACCACGATTCTCAGATCTCAGCCTCCTGAGTAGTTAGGATTACAGGCGTGAGCCACCGGTGCCCAGCAGTAATTAAGCTTTTAATATGCAAATATGTGTACTCTTCATTAGGTAATATCTACTAGTAGATCTAAGAACCATTGTGACAGGGCTGAGAATGTGGTTTAGTGGTAGAGTGCTTGCCTAGCATTCATGAAGCCCTGGTTTCGATTCCTCAGTACCACATAAACAGAAAAGGCTGGAAGTGGTGCTGTGGCCCAGAGTGATAGAGTGCTAACCTTGAGCAAAAAGGAGCTGAGGGACAGTGCCTTAGCCCTGAGTTCAAGCCCCACGACTGGCAAACACACACCTACACACAAAAATTGTGATTTAAGTTTTTGGTGCTGAGGATAAACCTAGGACCTCATACATGCTAAGCATGTAGTCAGTGGTTGAGACACCTGCACAAATCAAGCACAATTTCTGTTGGCAGAGAAGTCATAAATAATCATGGCCAGTACTTCTGCACTTTGGTGCCTATATCCATAGTGAAAAATTCTGAACTCCAGATTCAGGTAGTGGATGAAAAGGTGTTAACTTTTTTTGGGGGGGGGTGTGGTCATGGGGCGTGAACCTCTTTTGTTCAAAGCTAACACTCTACCACTTGAGCCACAGCTCCAATTACAGGCGAGAGCCACACACCATTACATGGCTAAGATGTTAACATTTTCCCATCCAAATTTGACACCCAGGTTCTATTCAGAAGCCCCAGGTTTTAAAATCATTACTTTGAAACTAGGCACCCAGAGACACACTACTGTAATCCTAGCTACTCAGGAGGCTGAGATTTGAGGATTACAGTTCAAAGCCAGCCCAAGCAGTAAAATCCATGAGGCTTTTTTTTTTGTTTCTTCTGTGGTAGAGCCTGGAAATCCTTTATTTTTTAAACATTATTATTATTATATTTAAGTAGTTGTACAAAGAAGTTCCCATTCTACAACAGTATATGAATACAAGGTATCTGACAACATTGTCACCCATCTCTCCTAACCCATCCCTTCTCTTTTTTTTTTAAATTGAGATTAAAGTCACAAACACAGTTTAACCTTCACAAGGCAAACTGTCTTTATCAAAGCCTTGAGACTCTTAATTAATCAGCAAAAAGCCATAGTGGAGGCATAGATGCAAGTGGTTGAAGATAAGGGACAGCACACAGGCCTGTGTTCAAGCCCCAATACCAGCACAGAAAAAAAATCTGCTTTGGATAGTTTGAATATTTTATCATATGGATGTTTTCCCTAAAACCTTGTCATAGTACACTTGGAAAAGAAAGTGCATTCTGATGGTATGGGATGTAGCTCAGTGCTAAGAGCTTATCTAAAATGCACAGCCATGGGTGTGATCCCCTGGAAAAAAAGATAAAGCAGAGCCTGAATTTCCACAAATAATTGTATGCCTAATGGAAAGGACTGAAAAAGATGTCAGGTACAACTTTTTGCCTGCATCACTGTGTGAACCCACAGGTCATGCTGGGATAGAGTCAGATTCAGACTGAATTAATGACTCTGTTACATCAGCATTCTAAAAAATAATGATATATGCAGTCACATTACACTAAAATACAAGTCAGTTTATATATTTTTTATTATTTTGGTTGTGGGCTTGAACTCTGGACCTGGGCGCTGTCCCTCAGCTCTTCAGCTCAAGGCTACCACTCTACTACTGAGCCACAGCACCACTTCCAGCTTTTTCTGCTTATGTGGTGCTGAGGAATCAAACCCAAGGCCTCATGCAGGCAAAGCCACTCTACCACTGAGCCACCTTCCCAGCCCCTGCAGTTGCTTTTATTAAAGTTTTGTATCATCAACTTCTTTAAATTTCAGCTTTTCGTGTGTATGTGCCTGTCCTGGGGCTTGAACTCAGGGTCGAGGCACTATCCCTGAGCTTTTGCCCTCAAGGCTAACAGTCTACCACTTGAGCCACAAGCTCCAATTCTGGCTTTTTTTTTGGTGCTTAACTAAGTCTCATGGACTTTGCTGCCTGGGCTAGCATTGAACTGCAATCCTCAGATCTCAGTCTTCTGAGTAGCTAGGATTACAGGCAAGTCACCAGCGCCTGATCTTCAAACATCTTTTACTAATATGTGAGAATAGTGGGTAGTTTAGTTCAATTTACAAGCCACTTTCTTATGATATGATAGGAAATACTAGCTAAGTGCAGTACAGTGCATCTTATATTCCCAGTTACTCAGGAGGCTCTGGAGACTCGAGCCTAGGAGTTCAAGGCCAGCCTAGGGAACCTACTGATACCCTGTTTCTCTTATGTTGAGGCCAGAGAGCAGATGCTTTGGTTTGTCCCCTTTAATTCTCATGCCCATCATGAACAAAGCAGGAAAATTCTCTCCGGACAAGGGGCTTATTAGGCCTGGAGTTGCTGGTGGATCCATTAAAAAAATGGGTCTCAGGACCTAGGTGAAACCCTCTTAGAATAGTTCATATTGAATTGCAAGATAGTGGCTAGCTGCATTGTTCCCTAGACAGGTCAAGCCTAGGGCCCTTTCCTCTGAACTTTCAGCAGGTTCTTTTTTTTTTTTTTTTTTTTTGGTCGGTCGTGGGACTTGAACTCTGGGCTTGGACTCTATCCCTCAGCTCTTCAGCTCAAGGCAAGCTCTACCGCTTCAGCCACAGAGCCACTTCCGGTTTTCTAGTGGTTTATTGGAGATAGGAGTCTCACGGACTTTCCTTGCCCGGGCTGACTTAGAACCATGATCCTCAGATCTCAGCCTCCTGAGTAGCTAGGATTACAGGTGTGAGCCACCAGCGCCCAGCTTCGTTCAGCAGATTCTTGAGCTGCTTGTAGACACAGTCCTGTACTCAAGCACACGTATCAGCTAGTACATTGAAAACAGCATTTCGTCCTTACAAATTAGGTGGAAAGAGGTACTCAAGAAAACCTTTGAGTGAATGACTTATCCTGTTATTCAACACCTGTCCCCTAACATGTTGTTCTACACTTTGAAGTTACAGCAGTGAACAAAACATGAATCCTTGCCATCATGGAAATACAGTTGGCAAGTTGGAGTTGGGATTTTTGTTGTTGTTGTTAGTCATGGGGCTTGAACTCTGGGCCTGGGCGCTGTCCCTCAGCTCTTCAGCTCAAGGTGAGCACTCTACCTCTTGAGCCACAGTACCACTTCCAATTTTCTGGTGGTTAACTGGAGATGAGTCTCGTGGACTTTCCTGCCTGGGCTGGCTTTGAACCTCAATCTTCAGATCTCAGACTCCTGAGTAGCTAGAATTAAAGGTGTGAGCTACTGGTGCCCAGAACAAGTTGGAGTTTTTAGGGGCATAGAGTTGGAAGTTTTATACAGGGTGGGGAGGGGTGTTAAAAAAAATGGTCTTTGTCCTTGGTTCCTGGCACATAGCTTTGTGTGTGTGTGTGTGTGTGTGTACATGCACCTGTACTAGAGTTTAAACTTGGCTATTCTCACTCAGCTTTCTTGGCTCAAGGCAAGGCTGGCACACAACCACTTGAACCACATCCCCACTTCTGGCTTTTCTTTTCTTGGCTAGGTAATTGGAGATGAGTCAGATGGACTTTCCTGCCCAGGCTGGTTTTGTATACCAGTCCTCAAATCTGAGTCTCCAGAGTAGCAAGGATGATAGGCATGGGATAATGGTGATGACTAATAGCTCTTTTCAGTATGCTGCAGTGATAGCTAATGGCTAGAGGCCTGGGAAGAGCTTGAGGACCCAGGCTGGTAGCAAAAAGACCAAGGTTCAACTAGAGAGGTGGCATTACTGAACCTCAGGGCTGAAGACTGAATTAGTCACCAAGAGTCAATTACTTTGAATTATGTCTAGACCAATGAAACTATCCTAGAGTCCCTAAATTGTTCATTCTCTGGTCTGCAAAAAAAAACACTCAAATAATTTGAGTTTGGAGAGGGTCAGCTTATGAGAATGATGTGCCCCAGTGGGCATGGAAGACTTGGGCACACAACTGTTGTCAGTACTGGAAGAAATAATGGTTCTGTGTATTATAGTGAGTTTTCATTAGGTAATACAAGATAAAAGCTTAAAAACCTTTCATACTTTATCACCATGGGCAGGTGACAGAGTAGCCCTCATAGGAGTTTGCTCAACTGAAAAACTAGAAATGTCATCCTCCTTCTACTTCAAAGGATTATGGTAAGTAGCCAGGCACCAGTGACTTATGCCTTTTATCCTACTTACTCAAGAGACTAAGCTCTGAAGATCATGGTTTGAAGACAGACCCAACAGGAAAGTCCATGAGATTCTTAGGTCCAATTAACCACCACAAAGCTAGAAATGGAGCTGTGGCTCAAGTGGTGGAGTGCTAGCCTTGTGCAAAAAAGCTCAGGGACAACACCCAGTCTCCTGAGTTCAGGCCCCAGGACTGGCAGACACCTATTATTTTTTTTAAAGTATTACAGTAAGAATTAAATGAGAGGCAAGTATAGAGTACTCAATATACCATAGGTGGTATATATGTGGTGGCAGAGTGCAGAGTGCTATGGTCCTCTTGATGTTTCTGAGAGGGAATCAAAATCCTTTCTGGTTTACAATCAGCGAGACTGTGATAATGTGTTGTCCAAACACAAGCAGAGCTGCACTGAAGAAAAGGTGATGTGAGTGGAGAATAGCTAACTGGTCAGTCAAGTGACTCTAGGGAAGGCTGCCAGCAGCAGAGAATGAGAGCACCAGTACCTTCTGTGCTGTTAAACTGAAAGCATTAAAAAAAAAAGCAAAAAACATGTTAACATGGATGCCTTAGATCTGGAATGCTAATGACAAGCTCCTACTTGAATTTCACTATAGCTTCTATATGCACCTGCAAAACCATCTCAGTGAAAGGAAGCAAATGAAAAGATAAAAACTTGAGAAAAGTAACTTTAATTTTTTTCTGAATGGATAACCAAGTGATGATCCTTTTCAGAGTAAAATTAGTTGCCAGAATAATTTTACAAAAACCTTAAGTATCCATTAAAAATAAAATTTGAATAAGACACCTTGGTTCTGATGTTTATGGAGTATACCCACAAGAAAAATAGAATACTGAAGGGGGCTGGGAAGGTGGGTCAGTGGTAGAGCACTTGCCTTGCATGCCTGAGACCCTGGGTTCGATTCCTCAGCACCACATAAGCAAAAAGAAAAAAGCCAGAAGTGGCGCTGTGGCTCAAGTGGTAGAGCGATAGCCTTGAGCTAAAGAACTGAGGGACAGCGCCCAGGCCCAGAGTTCAGGCCCCACGACTGGACCCAAAAAAAGAAAAATAGAATACTGAAGTGAAGAAATATTTAATCTACAGCATAGAAACCAGAATGTAACTGGGGGAGAGGAACCATAGGATAGAAATGAAGTTGCTTTTTGAACTTTCTTGCTTTAAGCATCAATGCTTCAAGCACTCAATGAATTTAATTGTGGAAAGAAAAGAAAACAAAACACTTTATATTCAGTTTCATCTTAAAATGAAGTGAACAAGTTATAAATTTCTCAACTGTTGCTAAGTTGCTTATACAAACTTAAAGTCATAAGCATGACTTCAGGATCGGCACTTTTTATGTCAAGCGCCTTAACAAAGCAGTTTAGAGCCTCCTGTATTTTTCCGCATTCTTTCAGTTCTTTTCCACGAGCCACAAGAGTCTCATAGTCATCAGTAGCCTCCACTGACTTCTCCTGGGGTGAAGCAACTAAAGGTTCACCAGACAGAGGCTCAGGAGTAGCACCAGAAGAGGTCTGCAGAACAGGAGAACTAGGCTCAGACATCTTTAGCTCGCTGGACTTGTCTTTGGAAGGCAGTGTTTCACTAGGAAGGTCCTCTTCTGTGCACTCATCACTGCTAGTTTCTCCTTGGGGATCATCAGCAGCATCCTCTGCTTCATGGTGGTTGCCAAGTTCTTCTTCCATATCCTCTACATGGTCTAAAACTACATTAATCAGAGACCTCCTAGAAGCCAAAGATCTTCTAGAGGTTGTGGATTTATTTCCACTGTCAGGCATTTTAGGTGAAAAGAGCCTTCCAGATTGACTGGTATCATGTTTGGGAGTTGAAGCATCAAATTGTTTCACAGATGTGAATTCAAAGGGAGATGTGCTGAATGGACTTGTGCTTGAAGTACTTTTAAAGGGATCATCTTCATCTTCATCATCTGAAATGATCCTTCTAGCTTTGCTTCTGGTTTTAACATTAATAACTACTTCTTCTGCTTCATCTTTCCCAGAACTTAAACTGGAATGATGCACTGACTCTGCTCTGGAATTAACTGCAGAACCACATGGGCCCTCTTCTTTCCCAACATGCTCCAAAGACTGATTGGAGAGATTTTGTCTATTGTCTGCAGAGTCTTCCAGGAAGAGATTGAAATCACATGCATATTGTGGTGAAGATGATAAAGATTTTTCTTTTGTGTTGGCCCCATTTACTTGAGCAACCTGCAGTGTGCTATGAGATGCTGACAAGCTGTCATCAGATATTTTAATAATGGATGTATTTGATTCTTGACTTTTATTTTCCTTTGTCATGGGATTAATTGGCCACGAACTGCAGCTATGTAAAACCTCACTATCCTGTAGATCTAGAATTGGCCCAGGCTCGGCTTCTGCTCTGACTGATTGACTAAGTAAACTTCCCAGGGGGCTCTCTTGCAGTGCTGGTTGCCTGGGCCTCTCTTGTAATGCCTCCTTCCGCACAGCCTCATCTTCAATGGCACAGACTTCTGCTGTTCCAAGTGAAGATTCAGTCCACATTCTTTCTGCACTTCCAACCCCCGTGGGTAAAGTAGATGCAGAGTCAGCATCAAATTTATTTTCATATGGGTGACTGCCATCTTGCATCATGGTAACGTTCACTGCAACATTGGAAAGATCTTGTGGCTCACTCTCTTGGGACTGATCATCAAGGCTTATGTTTGCCATCTGAGAACTAATGTCATCTTCCTGAGTATAATGAGTAGTTCTAAAAGGTGAAGGCTGATGCTGTGGTTTGTTCAATCCAGGGCCTCTCTTCTTTGTTTGAGAAGCTAATATAGATGCTCTCTGCCAGGCTTCCTCATTTTCAGTTCTTTGTTTTCCCATGGTATTTTGAGACTCAAATTCAACAAGGAATTGAGCTTTCTGAACTCTCTGTTGAATATACTGAGAGTCTTCTATCACATCAAGCTCTTCTTTAACAGATAGATCACGTGTGTACATCAAGTCATGGTCTGAGATTCCAGCAATGCCCAGAGAGTGCAGGTAGGCAATGTGTTCGTCTAGTTTCTCATCAGATCTCCTCTGAGCAGCATGCAAAGACTGAAGCTGCAGCTGGGTTGCAGAGTTTTGAAGATCCTCAATTGTAAAGAGCTCTCTTAATTCTTGTTTGGTAAAATAGCGGAATGGATTCTTCTTATCACCAGTTGTCTGCCTGATTAATGAGTCCTTGAAAACCTGTCGTCTATATATTTTTTCTTCTACAGTCCCACAAGTGATTAGCCTATAAATCACTACGTTTTCTTTCTGTCCAATTCGGTATACTCTATCTACAGCTTGAGCATCAGTTGCAGGGTTCCAGCTAGGGTCAAAAATGACCACTCTAGTGGCTGCGGTTAATGTCAGGCCAACACCACCTACGAGAGTGGTAAGCAGGAAAACAGAGTACTCTTTATTTTGCTGGAATAACTGAATTCGTTTTTCTCGTTCCCAGAGATGAGTAACTGTGCCATCAATTCGTAACACCTTAAAGTACTTACTCTTTAAAAGGCGTTCAATGATGTTTAGAATTTGTCTCGACTGGGAAAACACCAGAGTCTGATGCCCCTCATCTCGAAGTCTGTTTAGCAGGTCCATCAAGAATATCATTTTTCCAGATTCATTCATCAGTGTTTCATCAGTTATGTGATCAATGTTGTGCACTTCTGAGGGATCTTCTTCATTTACATCTTGAGCAGAGAGTCTGATATTCTCCAGATTCAGCAAACCACAAACCCGTGCAGACAGCAGCCGAGGATGATCACACAACTTCTTTAAGACACCTAGTTCAGCCAAAGGTGAGCGAGTCTCCATTAATAACTCCTTGATATGATCTAGAGATGTGAATTTCCTATAAATTTCTTCTTGTAGAGGTACCAGACGTATCCAAACGATTAAATCATTTTTCCTGGAAAGGGAAGGCATTTCACAAATGGGATCGACACCTGGAGTATTTTCATTGGGTCTCACCTCTGGGCCACTTGGCTTTTTCTTCTGTACTTCTTCTTTAGTTCTCCTGAGAAAATAGGGTTTTATGATTGCCATTAAGTTTTCAGAGATCTTAAATCCCAAGGCTTTTTCCCCTGGGGTGGCATCCTTCTCTCTTGCACGCACAATAGGATTTTCATACTCTATTTTAAAAGTTTTTAATGTTCCTAACAAGGACCCTTGGCAAGCAAAGTCAAACAGAGACCATAGTTCTTGCAAATTATTCTGGATTGGAGTTCCTGTAAGGAGAAGGCGATACTTTGCAGGGACAATACGAGCACAGATTGCTGTCTTGGTAGATGAGCTTTTTATTTTATGAGCTTCATCAAGGATCACATAGTCCCACACAAACTCTCCACCATTAAAGCTTGCAAGGTGCTGCCAGTTATTGATTAACATTTGGTATGTCGTGATAACGATGCCATTCCTTTGTTGAATCCGCCTGAGGTTTCTGGTACGTTCATCCTTGCTAGGGCCGTGAAAAGTCTTCACTCTCATTCCTGGAGTCCACCTGGCAAACTCTTTGATCCATGTGTTGATGAGACTGGTTGGCATGATCAACAGCACATGCTTCACAAAAGAAGCATCAAACATACCAGAAAGGAAAGCAATGATTTGAACAGTTTTCCCTAATCCCATATCATCTGCCAAAATGCCCCCTTTTTTCCCATCCCTATAGAGGCTGTAGAGGAAAGCAACGCCTTCCTTCTGATACTCAAAGAGCTGGTTGTATAGTTCTCGGTAAAGCAGCAGGCCAGAGTTGCATACATCTGTAAATTCATCATTTTCTTCTTCTGCCAATTCCTCCAAGGCCTCCTGTAGTTTTTGGATTCTACTCATCACTTTTTCATTGGGAAAAATGTCCTTTGCCAAATTGAAAAGTTTAAGCGCTTCTTCCAAATCTCCATTCTTAGCTGCTTCTTTGGCCTCTTTCACATATCTACAAAAAATTTTAAAAAAGAATTATATGGAGCCAAGTGTAGAGTACTTGCCTAGCATGCATAATCCTCAGCATTGTTAAAAAGAGAGAGAAAGAAAACATCATACACTTTTTCAAAAAGACCACACACACAATTAGAGAATTAGAAAGAAGGGTAACAGGTTAACATTCAATTTAGTAAAGCTTTAGGGCATTTTTGAATCCAAACTATAGTTGGGCTTTTAACATCCTCAATTCAGGATGAGAAAGGTTAGCACAGAAGATGGTCCACATCTGTAATCCTAACACTTGGGAAAATAATTAAGGCTTCCAGGCCAGCCTGGGTAAGCATAGCAAGACCTTGTCTCCAAAGAAAAACAACATCAAAAGTAAAACTATACAAATGGCCAACAAACATATGAAAATATGTTCAATATCATTAGTCACTAGGGAAATGCAATTAAAAACTACAATGAGATTGCATCTCACTCCAGGTATAATTATCAAAAAAAATGAAAAGTAACAAATACTTGTGAGAATGTGAAGAAAAAGGAACCTTTAAAATGCAGTATAGATGTTCCTCAAAAAATTATAAATAGGAAGTGGCGCTGTGGCTCAAGCAGTAGAGTACTCGCCTTGAGCTGAAGAGCTAAGGGACAGCGCCCAGGCCCAGAGTTCAAGCCCCACGACCTACCAAAAAAAAAAAAAAAAAAGAAGAAGAAGAAGAAGAAAAAAAATATAAATAGACAGGTATGGTGGTTCACACCTGTAATCCTAGCTGCTTGGGAGACAGACGTTTTGCTTCTTTTTATGTGCTTTCCCCACGGTATAACCCCTGTTTTCACTGTATTTGATGTTGGTGCCCTGCAGCTTGGATACACATTTTTCTAATTTGGGGAGGGGAAGGGAAATAACAAAATGCTAAAATAAGGATACAGGTTTACCCATTGTAACAATGAGATATACAAGACACTATGTTGAAAACGAACTTTACAACTTGGGGAGGGAAGGAAGAGTTGGGGAGGTAGGGAGGATGGTAGGAAAAACAGAGGAGGAGGTAACAATGATTGATAGGAATGTACTGATTACCTTATTCAAGTAACTGTAACCCCTCTGTACACCATTGTTACAAAAAAAATTTTTTTTAAAAGATCACATTTGAAGGCTGGTTCCTGGTTAGTCCAGGAAAAAGTTTGTGAGACCTTATCTTAACCATGTATCCCAGCTGTGCAAGATGCTTAAATGGGTAATTTGCAGTCCAGGCTGGCTGGCCTAGATACACCTGAGTAAACTATTTCAAAAATAACCAAAGTTAGGTCAGGCATGGTGACACACCTATAATCCTAGCCATTTGAGAGGCTTGTGGTTCCAGGCCATCCCAGGCAGAAAAGTCTGTGAGACTTCATCTCAATGGAAGAAGCTGGACAATGTGATGCACACCTGTCATCTGAGCTATAGCAGTGGGAAGCAAAAAAATAGGCAGATAGTGGTTCAAGCACCCACCTGGGCAGGAAATAAGACCTTTTCTCAAAAAAGAAAAAAAGAGCCAGGCGCCAGTGGCTCACACCTGTAATCCTAACTACTCAGGAGGCTGAGATCTGAGGACTGCAGTTCAAAGCCAGCCTGGGCAGGAAAGACCTTGAGACTCTTGTCTCCAATAAACCACCAGAAAACTGGAAGTGGCGCTGTGGCTCAAGTGGTAGAGTACTAGCCTTGAGCTGAAGAGCTGAGGGACAGTGCCCAGGCCCAGAGTTCAAGCCCCACAACCAACACACACACACACACACACACACACACACACACACACACACACACACACACACACACACACACACACACACACACACACACACACACACACACACACACACACACACACACACACACACAGCACAAAAAAAGGACTGAAGATATGGCTGGAGAGAAGAATTCTTGCCTGGCACGTGCAAAATCCAGAGATCAAACCTCAGTTATGGCAAAAAAAAAAATTAAAAAATAGAAACATCCTATGATCTAGCAGTATCATTTCTGGGTATGTACAAAGTCAGTTTACCATAGGCACACCCCTGATTACCAAGGCACTACTTGTAATAGCTAAGTTAATCAGCCTAGTGCTCATCCACAGATGAATAATGCTGGGTGTTACTGGCTCATGGCTGTAATTTTGGAGGCGGATTGCAATCTGAGGATCACAGTTCGAAGTTAACCCAAGCAGGAAAGAAAGTCTGTGAGACTCATCTCCAAATAACCATCAAAAAGCCCAACGTCGAGCTGTGAGTCAAGTGGTAGAGCTCTACTCTTGAGAGAAAAAAAAGCTCAAGGACAGCACCTAGGCTCTGAGTTCAAACCTCAGGGCTGGCACGCACACAAGCACACACACACACACGAATAATGGAGCATGAAATCCTCTAACATTCAACAAAGTCAGAAACAGAAAGATAAGTAGTGCATGTTTCTCTCATGTGTAGAAACCAATCAAGAAGAAAAATGATATGAAAAAAAGGCTATTAGGGACTGGGAAGGGGCTAGAGGGACAATGTGGGGGACAGGGTAGAAGAATCAGGAGTGAACATGACCCTTACATGATATATACATTATCAAAATATTGGTGAATCCCAATGATCATTACAATATATATTAACTACAATTTCTTGTGCCAGTGCCAGAGCTTGAAATCATGGCTTTTTGCTCTCATTTGGCTTTTTCTACTTGCAACTGACACTCTACTACTTGTGCTACACCTCCAATCCAGTTCTATTTTTTGTTAGTTATTTGGAGAAAAGATTCTCTTGGACTTTTCTACCTTTGATGACTTTGAACCTGATATCTCAGCCTCACGAGATTACAGGTGTGAGCCACTGGTGCCTAGCAATAATTACCACATTTAAAAAGGCTAATATAAGAACATGAAAAGATATTCCATATCATAAGTCATCAGGGGAATGAATGCAAACCAAAACCACACGATATCTGCCTTTCATACCCACTAGGGTACCCACATACATATACACAAACATGTACTGGGGATTGAATTCAGGGCCTCCTCCTGTTAGGCAGATACTCTACACCTGAGTTATTTGGGGGGTAGAATCTCAACATATATTTTTTTGCCAGTCCTGAGGCTTGAACTCTGGGCCTGGGCACTGTCCCTGAGCTGCTTTTGCTCAAGGCTAGCAGTCTACCATTTGAGCCACAGTGCTACTTCCAGGTTTTTCTGTTTATGTGGTACTGAGGAATATAACCCAGGGCTTCATGCATGCTATATAAGCACTCTACCACAAAACCACAGTCCCAGCCCTCAACGTATTTTTTGCTTGGGCTAGTCTGGACCACAATCCCACTTACACCTCCTGCATAGCTGACATAACAAGTTCATGCCTCCATATCCAGTTTTTGTTGAGATGAAGTATTGCTAACTTTTTCCCCAGGCTGGCCTCCAACCAAAATCCTAACTTGATTCTCAAATAGCTTGTGCCACCATGGCCAACCCAGGAAGACTATATCAAAAAGTGAAAAAAAATGGGGTTAGGAATATACCTCAGTGGTAGAGTGCTTGCCCAGCATGTCATCAATTCCTAGTACCACCGAAAAGGTGAATAATTATTGTTCGTAAGGGCATAGAAAAATTTTCAACAATTGGTTGGAATGTAAAACAGTACAGCTTCTTTGGTAAAGTCTGGCAGTTCTTCCCAAAATCATACACAGATAAATAATTTGTGCACAGTAACTCTGGTACAGAAATATTCATAGCAGTACTTGGGAAACAATGCAAATGTCTTTCAGCTGATGAGGTAATAAGAAACGTGCTGTGTCCATATAACGGAATATCATGAAACCCTAATTCCCATTACAACTGGATGAACCTTTAAAACATTACGCCACCAGAGTTCAAGCCCCATAACCAACAAAAAATTAAATAAAATACAAAACATTATGCCAAAAGAAACAAGCCAGTCATAAAAGACCATATATTTTATGTATGAGTCTATCTAAATGAAATTTCTAAAACAAGCAAATTCATGGAGACAGAAGATAAACTGGTAGTTACCAAGGGCTGGAGGGGTTATGTACATGGCAAGGAATTCCTTTTCAGGTAATGTAAAATTAACTGTGGTGAAATATGCACAATTTGGAATATACCACAAATCACTGAATTTGTACTTGTACACTATAAATGGGCAAAATATATAGTATGTAGATTCAATAAAGCTGCTAACCAAAAACAAGTCTGCTGGCAAATACATGGCCTGTAATGCTTAAGCTGCTGAGCCTGGCATCCCAGGCTGCCCTCTCTAATGTAGCCAGCAACTGCTAACACCTTTGCCCCAAATTCTTTTTTTTTTTTTTTTTCCAGGTAAGGGGTAGGTTTATTCATAGTTCGGCTGGCACCAGGCCATCCTGGTCCTCCACGCAGTGGAGAAAGGCCTGGGAAAGAGAGCTGGGAGAGCTGGGAAAGAAAGAGAGATGGAAAAGAGAGAGAAAAGAGCTGGAAAAGAGCTAGAAAAGAGAGCCTCTGGGAAAGGTAGGGAAGAGAGAGCTGGGAAAGAGAAGAGAAGGAAAGAGCTGAGAAAGAGCTAGAGAGGGCATCTGGGCCTGGGCTAGGCCTTATCTAGGGTATGTGTGGAGAAAGGTGTGGATACATCAAATTCAGATGTGACCTCTTCCAGGTGTCCCAGTTGCCTAGGTAACACAGGTACTGGGTGGAGACTCTGCTGCGAGGAGGGTGGAGTCTGCTCGCCATCCAGGAGCTGACTTTACATTCCAGCCTTTTAATAATCATGAAATAGCGCTGGGATTCTCTCTGGCTACTTCCTGCTGACAAGGGGCGTCGACAATAGGGGTAAAAGGCTGGAATTTGGTCCCCTCCCAGAGAAGGCAGTGAGCAGCTGCTGTCTCTTGGTGGCGTGCGTCCTTAAATAAAGTCTGAAGAAGTCTCATGAGCATTGAGGGGCTGGAAATGTTGGTAGAAATGTCCCTAGCTACTTCTGACATATTTGCCCCAAATTCTTTTTTTTTTTTTT